TTATGAGGTTCCGGAGTCGTCCTGGCTGGCGGACTGTCCTGTCTTTGCCTTGGAGGCTTGGCACTCCTTCTGCCGCTCCTACACGCTTGAGTGGTGGGAGGCTTCAACGGTGCTTCAGGTTTTCCTAAGGGGCGACCTTGAGCACCTCAATGAGTGCTTGTTTGCTCCTGCCCTTCCCTGGGATGTTGGTGTCATTCAGCTCCATGTGCAGGTTCCCTCCCTTTTGGCGGCGCTGATGGCGGAGGACTTGCACGCTCAGGGCCTTTTGGTTGCGGCCTCGCACTTCTTTTCCCTCCTGGAGCTGTCTTCCAACTGGCTCACGGAGGATGTGTGGGCACTTGGGGCTGTTTCTGGGTTTGGCGCTTTGGCCTCGGCAACTCCCGCTTCGGGTTCCTTGCTGAAGCTTTTTGCGCCAATCTTGCGGGATGCGGTTGCTCTGTTTTATGCTTCCCGGCTCGCGTGTCGGTAGACGTTGCTTGCCTCCTCTGTGGAATCCACTTGGGCCTTGGCTCTTATTACGTTTTTCCCCTTTTTGTCCTCTTGTTTCAGACTTCCACCGTTGTGCTGTATATTCAGGCTGCTCTGCTTCTTGCCGTCCTATGTCGGACTTGCTGGTTTTCCGGGGGTCACGTGGTGGACCTTCCTGGAAGGGTTGTGCCAAGGCTCAGGGCATCTTGTCGTGGTAGGCCACTGGTGTCAGATTCGGGTTCAGCTCCTCCTTCAGACCCGCCTTCGTCTAGTCGGCGCGGTATTCGCTCTGTGCGAGGTTTTGGGTCACATAAGGGGCGCCGGCCCTTTCGTGGTTAGCCCCATTGACGGGGTGATGGGGGGGGGGAGGCTTGCGCTGTTCGCTCACACTTGGTCCCACGATTTGTGGGCATTTCGGGTCGTTTCGCACGGCCTCCGGTGGCATTGGGTGGCCTCTCCCCCTGCGGGGGGTTCGGGGCTGGCGGGGCAGACTTCTTCCCCTGCGCTCTGTCAGGTCATTTTGGAGTGGGTTCGCTTAGGCGTGGTCGAAATGACGACGTCCATCAGATGGGTTTCCTGTCTGTTTCCAGCGCAGCCCTGTGGTTCATTCTGGAATTGTTCCATCTGAACCCCTTGGTTCATTGCCCCTCCTTTCGGATGACCATGCTGTCCTAGGTTTGGCTCCTGTTGGAGCCGGGCGCTTGGATGGTGTCCCTGACCCTCCGGGACGCTTTTTGGCACGTTCCGATTCATTCGGGGATCAGGGACTGGCTCGGTCTTGATGTGGGGCTTCGTGATTACCGTCTTCATTGTCGCCTGTTCGGTTTGAACCTGGTACCTCGCGTTTTCACGTGCCTTACGCGGATTGTGGTGACCCATCTGTGTCTCTTAGACGTTCGGGTGTTGGCCAACCTCGACGACTGGCTGGTTTGGGCTCCCAGCCAGTCTAGTTGTCTGCTGGCCAGGATCTTGTTTTTTCTTACCTTGCCAGGTTCAGGTTCTTGGTGAACTGGAGGAAGTCCCATCTGGTTCCCTCTTAGGTTCGGACTTGGCTGGGTCTCGTTTGGGACTCTCGGACCGCTTCCTTGTCTCTTCCTCCAGAGTCTCTTCTGCGGCTGTGGTCCTACATATGTGCCTGTTTCTGAGGGGCTCCCGGGTCACCCGGCGGTTGCTCGAGGGTCTGTGCGGGAGCCTGAACTTCGAGTTGCTGGTCTACCTCCCGGGTTGGGTTTGGTTTCATCGGCTGTTCTGGTTCCTTCCGGGACGTCCCTTTTGCCTCTATTGCGATCACTGGGTTCGGACTCTGGGTGCTTTGCGTCGGTTATTGCGTCGTCGGCTTTCTCTTCCAGTTTTTCGGGGTTCAGTAACTTGGCCCCGAAGTTACTAACCTACCCGAGCCCTCGCTCGATGTGTTCACAAATGCGTCGTCTCTTGGCTGGGGCTTTGTGACCAGTGCTCACCAGGCCGGCGTGGGACAGTGGGGTCCGTCCTTCCGTCGAGCTTACAGCATTGTGCGGGAGTTCGCGGCAGTGTGGTTTGCTCCCCGGTGGTTCATTGTCTGACCAGGGGGGGGGGGTTCGATGTGGTCCTTGGCTCTTTGGCGCTGGTCGCTTCGGGTGACTCGTCTACTGAGTTCTCAGGGTTTGGCTCTCCTGGCTGTTCACGTGCGGGGAGTGTCCAACGTCTTAGCCAATGCCCTGTCTCGTTTCATTCCCCTCTCCACTGAATGGACGGTCGACGCCGACTCCTTCCGTTGGCTTTGCCAGATGTTCGGACGCCCCGAGGTGGACCTCTTCGTGTCGGTGTGGTCGCAGCGCCTTCCCGTCTGTGGCGCCATTTCCCAACTGTGAGGCCGTCGGGGCCGACGCCTTTCGGCAGGGCTGGTCAAGGTGGGGGGTTCCTGTACCTCTTTCTCCCGATTCAGCTGTTGCTTCAGGTCCTGACTTGCTTGGAGACTTACCAGGAGAGAGTTGTCCTCTTGGCCCCTTGGTGGCTGGCCCAGCCGTGGTTCCCGGCGCTGCTTGCTCAGTGTCTGAACCTGGAGGTTTTTCCGCGGCTCCGCCTCTTCCAGCAGATCGCACCAATACGTCACGTGGATGGTTCGATCTTCTCCTCGAGTCTTCGCGTATGGTATTTTTGACTTAAGTTGATCATCATCTCTATGGTGATCAGGTGGCTTCCTTATTATTTTCCCACCTGCGGGCTTAATTTTGGTGACAGTATTAAGTTTCTTAGCGGTCTTCCGGTTCTTCTTACATCTTCGTCATACTTTGCTTTCTGTTAGGGTGGTGTTGTCTTATCTCTGTTGGTAGTTCCAGGACCATGACCTTATGCCTAATACTGTTGCCTCGTATCGTGCGGTACTGGTGGAACCGCTTCAGCTTGCTTTCGGTATTGATGTCACGTCCGTGCTGTTTCGCAAGCTGTCTTGGGCGTTGTTTCACCTCCGGCTTGCTCATACGCCGCCTGAGCTGTCCTGGTCATTGGGCAGAGTGCTCTCTTTTCTTTCTTCTCCTCGCTTTGTTGTGGCCCCTTTGGTTCCGGATTGTTTTTCGACGGCTCTTTTTTCCTGTTGGCATTGGCCTCTGGGGGTCGGGTAGGTGAGCTTCTTGCTCTCCTCCAGCTCAGAGGTTTCTGCTCCTTTGGTCGGGGTGATCAGTTTGTTCATCTACAGCCCTCTCCATCTTTTCTGGTGAAGAATGAGAATGCTGCTTTCCGGAGAGGTACCTGGGTTGTTGATGCTTGGTTAGTTCGGCCTGGGGTTCATCATGTTTTGTGTCCAGTTGCGGTACTCTGCCGTTATTTGTGCGCTACGGCTTCTGTGTCCGTAGACGTGCTTTGGGTTGATCCGGTTTCCCTTCTTCCCTGTTCAAGGGGGTGGGTCTTCCAGGTCGTCCGAAGGGTTATTAAGGCTAGCCAGCCTGCGGTCTATTCTAGTGCCCATAACGTCCGGAAGTTCGTGGCTCTTGCCGCCGTTTTTGGCAATATATCCTGGGCTGACATCCAGGCGCGGGGATTTTGGCGGTCAAATAGGGTCCTTGCTGCTCGTTACCTTGTAAACATTCCTGGGCCTAGTCGGGCCTGTGTCGCTTTGGGTCGGTGGATGTAGCCAGTTGTCTCGAGTTCGGGTTGAGGAGTAAGCAGCAACCGCCTCCTGGGTAAGTCCCTATTCTATTCCTCCCTGGTTAGCTCCAGGGAGCCGTAGGGGCTCCCCCCAGAAAACCAGCATTGAATGTAATGAAACACCATTTTCTGGGTGAGTCCCAGAGGCTTCCCAGCATCCCTCCCTCCCTCCGGTCGGGGTTTTTTTTTCATGTGTTTTGATACCCAGTCTCATAACTGGGGGTATGGATCGCCGGCGAGGTGGATCTGGGGCTACCTCTTCCTCCTCCTGGGGAGGGGGGGGAGCTGCGCAGACAGCGGCGCGACAACGGGTGACGTCATACTAGTTTGCTGGTTTTTGTTTGGGGAGTTATATCTACTCGTTCGGCTTTTGGTTGAAATTTTCTCCAGAATAGGGGTTTGTTTTGGGACGCCTACCTTTCTGGGTGCCTAACCCGGTCGATGGCAGACATAGAATGCTTCCAATATCACACGGGGGGTGTCTATAGGCCAGGTTCTGGCTCGTGGTCCCTGGTAGGCCCATAAAAACTCCATACACATGACTGATGCCAAAGTCTGACATTAGCATATCAGCCTCGTAAGCTCTGGGGAGCCTCCGGGACTCACCCAGAAAATGGCGTTTCATTATTTATTTATTTATTTATATATATACAAGAAGGTACATTGGGATTGTGAGGACACATAGCATACTAATTACATTCTTGTAAAGCCACTAGTACGCACAGCGTTTTGTGCAGGTCCTTAATCTAAGAAAATTTTAAGTAGGTAAATACTTGTCAAATTTATAAAAATACATAGCATGAAAAAAAATAAAAGATGAGAGAAAACTGTAGGTATATTAAAGCACATAGGTAGCTCAGAATGATTGCAATGACAGCTTGAATGGTAAGTTTAACAAAAATTAGTAGGCACAATTCAGCATATGGCTAGCACATAAAAGAAGACAGCAATGAACACAGTGATAAAGTTGTTTGGGTTAAGTACATAAAGATTAGGAGATTGGCTAACACTAGATACAGAGCAAATTTAAAGCTCAGTGTAGGACACTACGAAGATGAAATTAGGTACTTTTTGTTTTTGTTTTTAAATGAGGCAAAAGTTTGACAGCTTTTCAATTCACTAGGGAATAAGTTCAATAGACTAGGTCCCTTAATTTGCATAGAGCGTTTACACAGATTAAGTTTGACCCTGGGGATATCAGAGATATATTTATTTCTGGTGTTGTGATAATGAAAGGTGTCTGAAAGCAGAGTTTGTTATTATTCTGATAGCAGATTTTTTCTGGGTGATGATGGGCTAAAGGTGGTTTGCATTACATTCAACGCTGTTTTTTTTTTAAAGTTTGGTGACATATTTTAGAATTATGTCACAAAATATAAAAGGATATACCCAGTAAAGAAAAAATGGTAGAGAAACTTATTTTTACTTTTGTAAATATTTCCAGCAAAATACATATTTTTATAGCTTAACATTTACAAATCTGCTGGTAAAAATGTTGGATCTATGTACAGGCTCAGTTCATCATCAGATTTAATAAACTTGATTTTCCCTGCAGTGTTATCATCCAGCCTGCAAAGAAATGTGTAAGTATAATACCAGAATTTCAATAAAATAATGAATTTTCTACTGGGGACAAGAAACCTATGGTTTGTCAAGACTGCCTTAGCCAAGGCTAAGGCAGTCTTGGGCTGTGGGCTGTGTCCATGTGCCCACTCCAGTTAATGGTCACACTCACTGCTATTAAATTAAATGGGTAATTAATAAGTTCATCATCTACATTGTCATACCATTAAAAGTTGTTCCAAAGTAAAGAGCAACTTATAATTACAGTGGTACCTCAAATAACGAATTTAATCCATTCCAGCGCCATTGTCGTCATGTGAAATGGACGTCATACAAAGAGAATGTCTCCAGTGACATTAACCCTTTAACTGTGCGACCTCCAAATATGATACCCCCCCCCCCCCCCAGTGGACAGGATATAAAATCTCTGGAAAAAATTCTTTTCTGTTTCTAAAGTGTCAAAAACCCTTCCCTGAGTAAGGGTATAGTAACAGAAGGTCGAAATTGTAAGTACTTTAGCTGCTATGGGGTCCGTAAGTTCTTGCGTGACATCATCATTCGCCGTGACATACGCCCCCGGGGCTGGTAGAACGCCCGGGGTAGGATGCACGAGTTGCCGCGAATATATTTTTGTTCATTTTCTGTGCACAGTTCTAAATACATTTTATATGCTTTTACGTGCCAATCCTATATATAATGAGCACGTACACTATATACTGTCCGAAGACACTGTGTTACGTGCACAACACGTGTACACATATCCAGCACATATTTCCATTGTATTATGCTAATTTATGTATACTGTATATACAGTCTATTTACACACTATACACTGTCACACACTATATACGTTCACCATCAATACACTCAAAACTCTGTGAGTGTCAGCTGCCACACCCTCACTCCTCCAACTTCCAGTCTCTCCCTCACTCCTCCAACATTTTACTTGCCAACATTGCTGCTCCCACCATACTGTTATTGTTTGTATTACACTATTTACACATGTTATGTATACCTATCTACATGTTTTATTCACCAGAACTATGCAAGTAAGCTGGTATTGTGTCCAAACTTTACAGTGGCCACAATACACTGCATGAGAAATCACACAGCAGTCAGCAGACGACGCTACGATTACGTCACCTCCCTCACCAAAATAGCTCCTCCCAACATACTCCTGTTTCAATTATTACACTATATACACACATTGTATATACCTATGTACAAATGTGTTCACCATAGCGAACCACTAAGCTAGTATGATGAGCAAAACAAGAGCGGCTGCCACAGTGAGGCTACCTCGATTCTCTCCCTCATCACAATTCTTCCTCCCACAATACTACGCACAGTGCTTATTATCACCACAATCCTGCTGTTATCACAATACTGGTCACTAAATCCTGTAAATACATAATTGACCACAAGTTTATTTTGTAAAGGAACCTAAGAAGTCGTTTGAAGATTCCTAGATGGACGAAATAATGCTGTGGTGCTGTGGCTAGCGCTGTGAACATCGTGAACAGCATTGAATCACTAATATTTGAACATTGTGCACAGTCATTATCACACTCAGGCTCTTCTGTAATACTATCATGGCTAAATAAAACAAGTTATATGTATATTTTGACATTATTAGGCGATGCTGTGGTCTCAAGCTGAACAGCAGTGCTGTGAACATGCTGCGTGCGCCGGCCTTGGTTGCTCACTCACCACTGAGGCTCTCACACCCGGGAATGTCGACCACGATTTTTTTTAAAGATGGCGTCTTTACAAGAGTTTGTTTACAAGAGTCCTGAGGAAGCTGATGTGAACCCCATGTAGCTGCGGGAGTTTTGAATGGAACGTGAAAAATACAAATACCTGGAGGCGCATAGCACACCCCAGACGAGGGCCTGCAGGCACGTTGCGCAGTTAACGGGTTAATGGTAATCAAATTAATCCGTTCTACCACCGAAAAACATCAATATGATATTCGATGTTTTACGTAATGGAGCAACCTACCTTACATACACTGCACAAACCTTTATGACATTTTTCTTTCTTCAAATTTGTTCAATATTTATTTTTCATTTGTCTTATAGCAAAAGGTTCGTTCGGTGGTCGGCAGGTCATAGTCAACATAGTCATGACACCACCTTGGTTTCCATGTAGGTGCATATTTGGGTGGCCTGGATTACCTTCCTTATGCAAGTTTCTCTGGTCTCGTTTTGCTTTAAATGTGATTCGGCAGGAACTGCTTCAGTACCTGCTGCAAAACCATGACTGTGCATCTGAATTGGGTGTGTCCTCCTCTGAGTACAGTACCTCTTCTACATCCTGACTTCAGTATGGGGGCCTGGCTTCAACTTGACTGGCAGATAATCCTTTGTTTTCTTTTGCCAGTAGCATATCTAGGGTACGGCAAGTATGGCACGTGCCCTGGGCAATGTCATATAAGCTATCCTCGGATAGAGAAAAAAACCAGCATTGAATATAATGAAACGCCATTTTCTGGATGAGCCCTGGAGGCTCCCTGGAGCTTATCAGGCTAATGTATGTTATATTAGACCGGGACATTAGCTAAGGAGTTCAGACCTACCAGTGCCAGAATCTGGCCCCTTCAGAGAGGTTTCAGGGAGCAATGGCACTGGAAAACCCTCTTGTGGTTGGGGTTTTCCTTATCTGCCATCGACCGGGGTCAGGCACCCAGAAAGGTAGGCATGACAAAACAAACCCCACATGGTAAAAAACTAAAACAAAAACCGAACAGAGGTAAAAAACTCCCTACAATCCCAAGGAAACAAGCAAACAAGCAAACATCACACTTTACTGCCATGCCGATCGTCCGTGCAGCCCTCCCCGGCCCGAGAGGGGTAGGGGGGAGTCCTGGACCTACCGCGCCGGCTGCCAAGCTTCAGTTCGGAAGCTAAGCTTCAACCAACGCGAAAAAACCGCCGACCAGTGGGAGGGAGGGTTGCCAGGGACCCCTCCGGGGCTCACCCAGAAAATGGTGTTTCATTACATTCAACGCTGGTTTTCTGTGGGGAGCCCCTACGGTTCCCTGGAGCTTCATACCCAAAGAGAAGGAAAAGAAAGGGCTAACCCAGGAGGCGGCCACTACAAACTCCGCAACGCAAAGCCGAGACAACAGGATGTAACCTGCGACCCAAGGCAACAAGAACGCACAGGAGCAGACGCGCATAAAGAATGGGCATCCAAGAACCTGTGCGACCCTCAATTCCCTGCGACCAAAATGAGTCTTAGACGTCACCAACACAGCAGCAAAAGCTCCAAACGTCCGAACAGCACGGGCGCAAAGACAGACCGCAGGCTGGAAGACTGAAAAACTCTGCGGACGACCTGGGAGACCCGAGCCCTGAAACAGGGAACGAGGGGAACCGGATCAACCCAAAGCGCATCCCCAGACATGGTACACAGGCAAAAAGCGCAACTGGACAACACAGGACGCACCCCCTGGCCAAATCAATCAAGCATCAATAACCAAACAACCCCTCCGGAAAACCAGCCGTCTCGACCGTCGCCAGGACGGAGAAAGGCTGCACACCTACAAATCTACCACCAGTACCAAAGAGCAGAAACCAAAACCGAAGGGGCTACCACAAACTGAGGAGAAGATAAGAAGGCACCCTGATCAAGGACCAGGATGGTGCAGGTGACGCATGAGCAGGCCGGAGGTGAAACAAAACACGAGAAAGCGTACGAAACGGGGCAGATGTGACGTCCACCCCGAACGCAAGCCGGAGCGGCCTCGCCAGCGCTGCACAAAACTAGGCAACAGTAAGAAACATCAAATAACTGTACTCCTGAAAACCCAAGAAAGGGCAAGACAAACCGATGCGAAAGAGATGACAACGTACAAAGAGCAAGAAAAAGTGCATAGAAACACCAGGAACGTCATACTGTCGCCAAGACGAACCTCGCAGGTAGGACACCATCAACAAGGCCACCTGAACACCACAGAGATGGTGATACCCGCGTCAAAATACCAGACGCAAAGAGCCGAAGAGAAGGCATTCCAAGGAACCAACCCTAAAGGTCAACACCTAAGAGAAACCCTGTGGTTCTGGCAAGAACCGCCAGAGAACAGTCCGAATGGAGCTGAATGGTAGAGCACCGAGTGACCCGAACCCTCCGAAGTGCAGAAGTGCAAACCAGACATATATACTGTATATATATATATATATATATATATATATATATATATATATATATATATATATATATATATATATAATATGTCGTACCTAGTAGCCAGAACGCACTTCTCAGCCTACTATGCAAGGCCCAATTTGCCTAATAAGCCAAGTTTTCCTGAATTAATATATTTTCTCTAATTTTTATCTTATGAAATGATAAAGCTACCCATTTCATTATGTATGAGGTCAATTTTTTTTTATTAGAGTTAAAATTAACATAGATATATGACCGAACCTAACCATCCCTACGTAACCTAACCTAACCTATCTTTATAGGTTAGGTTCGGTTAGGTAGCAGAAAAAGTTAGGTTAGGTCAGGTTAGGTAGGTTAGGTAGTCGAAAAAACATTAATTCATGAAAACTTGGCTTATTAGGCAAATCGGGTCTTGCATATGTTATGATCTCAGCCTGCAGGAGAAACGAGTCTCCCTTCTTGAGAGTTATTCAGCAAGCCTGACCTAACTAGAAGGTCTAGCAAGTATTGAGGTGATAACGCATATGTAAAATAGTTGGTTGGATATGTGTAACAGTTTGAGATTATGGGCAATGCAGAAGAAAATAGATAAATGACTGGCTAGGAGATGTGGACATTTTGCTGGAGGCTTGAGGCTCGCTTCTGGAGGACCTTGACCTCACTTGAGTGCCAGACATCGCAGGGGGAAGCCGCGCTTCGTTGAGCTCCCGTCAGAAGGGAACCCCTAGTGATATATCTCTAAGAGAAGAGAAGTGTGCAGACGTGCCAGCTGTGGAATCGAGCTGGGGACGTGTGGTCTCAAGTCGTGGACGATAATTAGTGAATATTAAGCCGCC